AGCCACACCTACCTAAAACGGCTCGTTCTAACACGCCCCCACATACCTACGTCACTATTTGGGCGGCGTTATGCAACTCTTCCCAGATAGTGACGTAGTATGTGGGGGCGTGTTAGAACGAGCCGTTTTAGGTAGGCGTGCCTGACTCTTAACTTTTATAAAGAATATCTCTTTGGATTTGAGACTTTAGTCTTTGCAACTTTACAGATCTTCTTTATGCACCAAGAGCTTGTAACACTCCAAAGAGAAAGGAAAAATTGAAATCGCATCATATGACCCCTTTAATATTTAGAGGTGTAAATCAGATTTGTGAATTATGGAAGAGAGGAAGTTTTTTAGTAAACATATTTATTGATAAAATATGTATTATAAATGAATTGCATTCCGTTATTTATACATTTTGTGCTGCTGTGCCGTCTTTACTTGTCCATCTTAAGGCACAGCAGATGTATTGTGCAAATAACAAGCGATCTGTGATGTTATTTCCACCTTCTCAGCCGTGTTATCATCCGTTATCCAGCGCGGCAGCACGAGGGAACTAAAGCAGGAGCATAATCCCAGCCGGCAGGGCCCTGATCCTCAGATTCAGGAGAGTTGGTTCATATTAGATGTGGAAGTGCCGCTGAAATGATCAGTTTTCAGTCTCGTGGGGTCTGGTGAAGCATTACTGTGACTCTGATAGCGATTTAGTAGCGTGTTGCTACAGTCACTGAATGAGTTTCTGTGTTATGAGGTCTGACGGAGTTAAGAGCACACAGAGTTTCCCAAAGAAAAACAACAAACACATGCTATCGTGATATCAGTGCCATTTTAGCATACCAGTACCACCTCTTTACCATCTCAGCTGTTTCTTACTGAGATTAAATGAAGAGCAAATGGAAACGTTCGCCTCCAGTTGAGCAGATTTGTTTTTCTAGGCATATTTTTCCAAAATCAAATGATCTGAGCTGCTTATTCACATTCATTATATTATATACCATATACTTTACAATAAGGTTCCATTTGTTAACATCAGATAACAACTAACTCGCACTGATACATTATTAAAAGTTGTATCTGTTAATATCATTTGAAGTGAACTAACAATGAACAGTTTAATTTTTTATTAACAAACATTAAACATTAAACATTGCTCATTGTTAGTTTGTGTTAGTTAATGCATTAATTAATGTTAACTAATGGGACCTATTGTAAAGTGTTATGATGTACTATGACTCATTTGTGTCTATTTTTATTTCTAATGTACAATTCTAGGAGAAATATCTGAGACAAAGTTAATTAGCTATAAAGCAGCAACTTATGAGCAATAAATCAGGGTTATTATAATTAAACTAAACTAAAACTAAAAGCATGAACATTTTTGTTACTTGAAACAAAATAAATATTAACTGAAATAATATATATATATATATATATATATATATATATATTATTTATATATGTATGTATACAGTTGTGCTCATAAGTTTACATACCCGCTTGCAGAATGTGCAAAATGTTAATAATTGAAACAAAATAAGAGGGATCATGAAAATTGCATGTTATTTTCATTTAGTACTGTCCTGAATAAGCTGTTTCACATAACAGATGTTTACATATACTCCACAAGACAAAATAATAGCTGAATTTATAAAACCATACATTTTCATAACTTGAAATATTGAATAAAATTAAGTATAAACAAAGAAAAATCTTATTTTAGATAGTTGCCGTCAACTAAAAATAAAAAAAATGAATAAATAAAATGAATAATTACTTTAAATAAACATTAAATCATTACATCTCAGCTGGTTAATTGAAATAAAATAAACATGAATTGAAATAAATATATTTTCAGCCAGTTGCCTGGCAGCATCTCTTACAACATTTCTTACATAAAGTAACTAAAACTAAATCATCTAAAAACTCAAACTTAATCAAAGCTGTATAGACATAAGCTAATAACAGAAGATATCAAATTAAATAAAAATACAAAATAACTAAATATGAAAAATAAAAATAAATAGTATACCAATGAATAACACTTAATAATAAACTCATTATTATTTAACCTAAAAAAAAAAATTCTGCTTGTTTTCCTGTGAGCTGTACCATCAAATTAGCTTGGATAAAAGTGTCTGCTAAATGAATAATTACATTTGAATCATCAACGTAATCATAAGTCAAAAGCATTATTAATAAATGTATTAAAAATAAATAAATGTATTATTATTATTATTATTAATCTTGAACAAGACAAAGTAGTTTAACTATATGCACCACCATAAAGTCTTACCAACAAGACATATTTGCATTTTATTAATTCAGAGAAAAACCTAAGCCCGAACATTTGAATATTATGGCTTTTTGCTCTTATGACCCCACCCACCCTGACCTAAATCAGAATAATGACGGACCGTCCAGTTGCGGGTCTAAATTTGGTCCACATTTAATGCTTAGAGACAGCGCCGACTCTTCGTGACCAATGAATGCTCGTGTGATCACAGCAGGAGCTCAGTGCATTTCAAATAATCCGGGCCTGATCTGGCAGAGACCTCAGCGTGGCATTGCGTCCCGGTCTGCAGTGCCACCCTGTCTGTCTAATTCCACGGGTGCGGCGGGGCCACTTTCTAAGCGTCAGCCGGGACACGGAGCGTATTCGTACCTGGCATCCCCTGTAGTCTTTAAAGAGGGTGACTTACATTCCCCTGGGCTCCTGTGAGAATGACTGTGATGACAGTGACGTTCACCAAATGGGCCGCAGGCATCTGTGTGGCTGGAGATGCTGCAATGTAGGTAAATTACATATTGTCACACTGCAATTTTTACGTCACCGTTACAACATGCCTTACCACGCACTGACTCACTTTTTAGGTTATGTAAGTCACGCAGTAAAATTTTACTTTTACTTAATGCTCAAACGTTTGGGGTTAGTACGATGTTTTTTTATATATACTTTTATTCAGCAAGGATATTAAATTGAGCAATAAGACAATGTTACAGAAGATGTCTGTTTCATTTAGATGCTATTCTTTTGAAGAATCCTGAACAAAAATGCATCAGTTTCCACATAATATATTAAGCAGCACAACTGTTTTCAACATTGATAACAATAAGAAATATTTCTTCAGCATTAAATCCACATTAGAATGATTTCTGAAGGATCATGTGACACTGAAGATTGTAGTAATGATGCTGAAAATGCAGCTTTTGTACCAAGAAAGGAAAAAGGATTGATTTTAGATTAAAGTGTAATAAACCTATTTTACTTCCTTATATATAATCCATTTCAGAGTTCAACAAGATTTTAACCATCAGCAACTGAGTGAATCATGAAAAGTGGGCCTCACATACCAGAATGGAGATGATTGGAGCAGAGCAGCTGAAAAATAATAGGGATTCATGACGTCATCCAAAAAGGACAGTCATTTCAGAGGCGGGACACTGAAACAAAAGCCATTACATTTTGATTAAAGATTATTATAAGAAGACAAATGGTTTTATCATTTACTTTAAGAAAATAAATAGGTTTGATTTTTATGTTGACTATAGGGTTATCACTGTTAACCAAATCATTACAAATATTCTTGATTTAAATAAAGCTGAAATAAAATAAAGTATAAATATTAGATGAAACACCTAAATGAAACAAAAATGACAAATGTTGCCTCGGCAACACTAACTAAAATCACTAACTGGAAATAAATCAATAAAAACTCAAATAAAAATAAACCTAAAAAGTAATGTTTAAAAACTATTATAAAATAAATAAAAAATAAACTAAAATAAAACTAAATTAAACCTAAATAGTAATATTTTTTAAATATATACTGTATATAATAAAAAAATGTAATAAAAACAATTTAATAACAAAAAATATCAAAATAAAAGCTAATTGAAAATATGAATAAAAACTGTAAATACTACAAAAATAACACTTAAACTGGTGAACACAATGTACATGAACAAACCAACGCCAGTCCAGTAGTGTGCTTTCCATCACTTATAGTTTCCTTTATTCTGTTACAAACATACATAGCATTTTCTAAATATAGACTTAAAATCTAAATATAGACTTTAAAAAATGGAAAAATCTGAAAAATGGAAGGCCGCCCGTTCTGATAGAGGCAGTCTAGTGCGGGGGGCGGGGCTTGATGGGATGGGTGGAGATACTTTGAGTATCTGAGACCTGAGCTCTTGACAGTGTCCTGCAGTAGCCATGAACTAGCTCCGTAACTTCAGTATCAAGTAACAGATAGAAAATGAATCGAGCAAATATATATATACGGAGAATGCCAAGAACCTGAGTTTAAACCAGACGAGGGCATTCCGACGTTAAAATCTCTGCTGAACACATAAGATAGTGGAAAAATAGCTACCTTTCGATAAAGATTGTTTTATGAATTGCTGCCCTTGTGCGTACGATCAGGAAAACGTGGTTGACACATGGATGCTGTTAAGAGCTCGGGTGAGTCACCTGAATAACAGAACATTCTTTCAGAAGTTTTCCAATCTTTCGTACAATGGTACAGAGGTATTGTTCATTCGAAAAGTATGCGGACGCCCCACACATCTTTGCACAAATCCCAACCTCAGGAAACAGGACGACAAAACGGCCAATTGTGAGAGTCGGCGAAGAGCCTGACAGGAAATGAACTCATAATCCCATCCCTCTGGATGAGTATTGCTTCCTGTCCCTTTTTTTTGTTTGTTTAGTGACAATAAGGCGGAAACAAAACACAAACGTTTACAGCACATATATATTTATATATAATACATCTGAAATAAACACAGCCAAGTTCAGTCGAAAGAAAGTCCATTTCTGGTGTTCTGCGAAAGATTTGTGCCCGATTCCGTATTTTAAACGAACGAAAAAAAGTGCTGCGATATTCAACTCCACTTTGAAGCTTAGCAGCCTAGAGGGTTTTAATGCATCTGTCCCTCAAAGTGAAGAAAAAATGCTTTCAAATGGCTTTTTGTTGTCATTTGCATGTTTGAAACAATTAGTCTCAGTTTTTCCACATGACACATTCACTATTAGTACTGATGGGACATGCAATCAAAATGAATGCACAAACGCTGCTGATTTAGACACGCCAGCGTAACCACAAAGTACTAAAAACATGGCAAATCTCCTTCCTAAAGCGAGCAGCGAGTCGTGTTGTAAAGCCAACTGAGCCCCCCTCGAGTCCCGAATGGTGCCTCACGTCTACAAATGCTCAGTTTAGCGGAGCAACCCGAACAGCAGCTGAGGGGGGGGGGAAACGCAAGATCAGTCGAAAGAAAGTCCATTTCTGGTGTTCTGCGAAAGATTTGTGCCCGATTCCGTATTTTAAACGAACGAAAAAAAGTGCTGCGATATTCAACTCCACTTTGAAGCTTAGCAGCCTAGAGGGTTTTAATGCATCTGTCCCTCAAAGTGAAGAAAAAATGCTTTCAAATGGCTTTTTGTTGTCATTTGCATGTTTGAAACAATTAGTCTCAGTTTTTCCACATGACACATTCACTATTAGTACTGATGGGACATGCAATCAAAATGAATGCACAAACGCTGCTGATTTAGACACGCCAGCGTAACCACAAAGTACTAAAAACATGGCAAATCTCCTTCCTAAAGCGAGCAGTGAGTCGTGTTGTAAAGCCAACTGAGCCCCCTCTCGAGTCCCGAATGGTGCCTCCCGTCTACAAATGCTCAGTTTAGCGGAGCAACCCGAACAGCAGCTGAGGAGGGGGGGGAAACGCAAGAATGTCCTGCCAACAGCTGCTGTGTCACGCTTTCTATTGCCGTTTAGGCTCGGCTGCCAAATCGGGGCCTGTTTTTTAAGGTTGCACAGAAAACACTCAATGCTGTATGTTACAACGTCAAACGACGGGTTTTTCTCCACTATACGATCTGCTGATGTAATAACATTTGCAGTGGCGTGCAAACGACTCAACAATCGGGCCCTTGTGCCTCGCCGCACTACAGAGCAAACTGCACAGCTCAATCCACGGCCGCCAGGGCAGGAATGCTCACTCTGTTCATGCTTCTCGCATTAAAATAGCTGGCCTGCTAAGTCAGCGCGCTGTTGAGGAGAAACAGCTGCTGCAATCATGGAAGTACAGAGAACGAGCGCAGAGATTGGCATCCGTTAACAATTCTGCGGCCAACAGATAAGAGTGTGTGAAAATATTTCATAACACGGGATGCAATTCGTCCGTCTTGCGTTTTAGGAAGGATCACAGCAGTACACATGACTTCGACAGCTGCCATTTAACACGAAACAGGTCAAAGGAGGCTTTACAAATCAGCACAAAATTCTGTTGCTCCCAAATTAAAAAAAAGAAAAGGTTGTTCAATTCTTCGCCGTGGATGCAAGCATATCGCATTTTGTGTTTTTGCTAAAGTGCATGGATGAAATGTGTTTGACGTCGTTAACAATCTTTCTCCATCATAACCCACTGGTCTACTTGGTTATTTTTATAATATTTTTGGTGAAAGGCTAAACAAAAATCTCGCATTAATATAGCTGCAGATACTACGCAAGAGAAAGCAATAAATTAAATAAAAAGGCAAATGCGGGACGGGCATGCACAGAAATGGACGCACGAGACCACTGGAAAGACATTTGATATTAATCGCGTAGAAAGAAAACGTAATGAAGTGCAGTAAACGCAAAAAGGTTGTGGGAGGAGCTTGGGAGGGTGACGTTTCGCAAGGCTAATCTAGTCTTTCACAAAACAAATACACTGGACAGTCTTCCAATCCCAGCTTATTTCTCTTTTTTACAAAATTAGCTTCTTGAGCTTTAATTATTCTGCAGTTTATATATAATTTTTACTTTGTGTATTCAAAAATATGCTGGTTTGTTTTCGTATTCTCTGATAAAGAACAATCTCACATAAAAAATAAAAAAAAAGACAACGCAAAAGGGGACGGGGTGAAAATACACTCGCCCACGTAGCTCTGTCCTTTATATTAACTAATATCACGCATCTATTGACTTAAGCAATCTGTCCTTAAATATTCAGAGGGGACTTGGACCCAAGTCGGAAAAAGACTGAGCTTTTTGTATGTTGACCCCAAAACCAAAATATATCACCATCACTTTATAGCACCGGTGGAAGGATGTGCGCAAAGCAACCATTTTCATCAATAATGCCTGTAATAAAGTCAGATTATGACTTTAAAAAGTCTCGCCATGAACAGCCGAGACACAAACTCAAAACCAGGGGGTCAAAATGCTCCAAATCTGAATTTAAAACTTTTCAATGCTCAATCAAATTGGCCAAACCATAAAAGTCATGTTGATGCAAGAACAAAAAAGGGAACATCTTAGGGAACATCTGTCTATAAAAGGGGAAAAATAATCTGGGAACAAAACTTCTGATATACGTTTAGAAAGTCCCATGCTGCCTTGGTAGGAAACACACCATGAAGACCAGTGACGCTATATATAGTTTATATATATAGCCTGGTTTTATCATATACGTGCCGCTTTGGAAATTCAGCAGCCTTGGCGTTGATGTAACAAAAGTTTAATTGTGAGCTAAGACAATTAAACTTGCTGGTTTCACAGGACAGGGCAGCATCAGGAATAAATCAAACCCCATGAGACATCCTTTGGACATCCTCCAAACCCTCACCACATAGAAACTTCACAGATCTATTTTTCTGTCCGATGACTATTTTAGTAGGCTATTTGAGTTCAGTTCATGCACTTATTGTTTCACACATCTCCTGGGGTCAGTCGTCATCCACGTCCTCGCCCTCGGACTCCTCTCTCCTCTCGTACATCTTATCCCGTTGTCTCTCCTGGATCTCCTTCATCTCCTCGGCGTAGCGGCAGAAGGCTCCTCCGAACTTCCCCCAGGCCTTGAAGGGGATGGTGATGGAGTTCCTGTAACTGGGCTTGACCTCGCTGACCCTCAGGAACACGCCGTACTTGTTGGAGCCCACGTCGAAGAAGAACCTCTTGGAGTCCACCATGATGGAGGTGCCCTCGGGGAGCTCGCCGTAGCCCCCCGCGGCCCCGGGCCCCCCACTAAGCTCCTCGTCCTCCCCGCCGTAGTCGTCGATGAGCTTGGCGAGCGCGTCTCGGAACTCGATCAAGCCCTGCGCCGGCAGCGCGATGGTTTGGCCGGTCTGCACGCTGCCGCCGGGACCGGCCCCTCCTCCGCCTCCGCCGAAGCCGGGACCTCGGTTGACGGTCTGGCGGATGCGCAGGAACCTCCCGCGCTGGTTCTCCTTCAAGTCGAGGTAGTATTTGCGGTTCTCGCGTACCAAGAACTCGCTCTTCAACGCCCGCCGCGGGCCTCCGTCATCGCCGGCGGACGACTGCGCGATCTGCTCCGGGCTGCTCGGCCCCAGCTGGGCGTAATGCTCGATGAAATCCCCGAGGTAGTCGCGGAACTCGGCCGCCACGGACATGGAAAGAGTCAGGCGGCTCTTGGAGCCCCCCGCGCCCACCTCCGCTATCTTAATGAAGCGGCCCTTCGCGTTCTGCTTGACATCCAGGTAGAAGCGCTTGTTCTGGATGTCCAGGCGCTTGGACGCCAGCTCCTGGGTCTCCTGCTCCCGCTGGAAGTGCTGGAGGCCCCCGCGCTCGCTCCCGCTGTCTCCATCCGCCATCTTCAGCACCTCCAGCCAACTTCTCCCTCAGAGAAACGCTCCTCTCTGCCCTGCTCCAGCAGGCACGGCTCTCAGCGCCGCAGCATTGGCCTCACATCTGCCAATAACAGGCGACGCGCTCTCGCGGGGTCACCAATAGGTCTGCGCGCTTGTCATTCGGAGCGCGAGGGCGGTGCGTTTGGGCGTCATTGGTTAGAGACGTTTCCTCCTCCTGTGCAGGCATTTCCTGTCCTTCTGGAGCTCAGCTCAGGCTTTGAAGGAGAACTAATAAACATTATTATTATTATTATTATTTTTAAATCAGAAGTCAGAAAGAGCTTTATTGCCAAGTATGCTTGCGCATACGAGGAATTTGTTTTAGCTTCCACACAGAGACAACAACGACACAGGAGACAATAAAAAAATAAGATGAGAATACAAATTTAAACATAAATAAACAAAAATAGAAAAATAAATTGAAAAATAGTCTAATCATTTATATGTCAAAGTAGGCTACTTGATTGTTTTGTATTGCCAGTGCAGCTATGCAATAAAACAGAAAAGAAAATAGATACAAATATGACGTGCATTTGATGTTAATATCATAACAATATAAAATATAATGTATAGTGAATGTGAACGAAATAACGAAATAAATGTGAAATTAACACACACACACACACACACACACACACACATATATATAATATTCGTATTTTTCAAAAACTAATAGGCTACTTTGAAATTCTGTCTCCTTTAAAATCCATACCAGACGATGCTACTGAATTATCAACAATACTTTGCATAACAGTTTTATGAAACGCTTATATGCACACATTTATGCGTATTTTATTTTAAAATCTGACCCAGGATCAGCAGTTTTCCCACTCTTGAAGTATGAGCTATGACGTAAACGCTGACTGTAGATCAGCTGCTGAACTTCCGCCTTTATGTGCGGGATGACGTCAAAGGTGACGTCGGGGTTTAATTCCCGAGGTCAGTGTGTTGTGAAAGTGATTTACAATCTGAACTGGATAATATCTATCAAAATTTGGCACAGGGAGCTTTCATTCGTTCTAGACGAAAATGGATAGAACATGGTGAAAGGAATACCAAATACTTTCTTAATTTAGAAAAAAGAAATGTTAGTGTTAATAATATATATAAACTTAAAATTAATCAGCAGATATCCGAAGATCCTAAAACAATTTCTGATTTTGTGGAAGAATTCTATAAAAAACTATATTCTGAACAAAGTAGCCATAGATCAAATTTTCTTTCTCACATAAAAAATGTTGCACATGGTATTGACGAAACACAGAAAGAAGTTTGTGATCAAGACATATCCTTAGAAGAATTTAAAAAAGAACATTAGCAAGTTAAAATACAATAAATCCCCGGGGAATGGTGGCTTAACAGGTGAATTTGATAAAGTATTCCAAGATTACATTTCTGAATGTTTGTTATTGGTTTTTAAGGAAGCTATATGTAAGCTCCCCCCATCAAGGCCTAATTACATTGTTACCTAAACTGTTTGCTTCTTGGCAACTGGAGGCCTATAACATTATAATGATGCAAAATTGTTGGCTCACGTTTTTGCACAAAGAATAAAGTTATGTTTAGATACAATCATAGATGATAGTCAGTCAGGGTTTATGCAAGGACGACATATTAGCAATAATATTCGATTAATCTTAGATTTAATTAATTATAAGGATTACATAACTGATAACAAGTTACATATATATAAAGCCTTTGATACTGTAAAACATATATATTTTTTTATTATGCTAAAAATACATTTGCATAATGATTCTTTTCAAGGCTGTCAGCTTGCTGGTGATACAGCTATCTTTTTAAAGATATATCACAGGTTAAGAAAACTATAGAGTGCCTTAATATATTTTATTTATTAAGTGTCAAGTTTATTTTTAAACATTAAAAAAGTACCCTTTTTCCACTTAAAGACAATGGTATTCCTTTTACCCAATTTGAAGGTATTCCAATTAGAGAGGAAGTAACTTATCTTGGTATTAATATTTGCAAAGATCAGTTAAACAGAGTACAATCTAATTTCCAACCCCTTATGTTGAAAATTAAAAAGAAATTTGATATGTGGCTCATGAGGGATTTATCACTCAAAGGTAGGATTCTTTTGTCCAAAACCGAGGGGTTATCTCGTTTAGTCTATCCTGTTAAAGTGTTAGATGTACCTAAATCTTTTCTTAAATAAACTGATTGAACTCTATTTAATTTCATATGGAAAAACAAGCCTCACTATTTAAATAAAAATAATTTATGTAATTCGTATAATCAAAGAGGTTTGAATGTGCTTGATTTTGTTACGTCTAATACAATTTTCAAATTGAACTGGATTAAACATTATATTAAACATAAAGATGAGATATGGTATATCATTCCAAATCTTATTTTTGAAAAAGTTGGAGGCATAGCGTTTCTTTTGAAGTCAACAAACTCCCCATTAAGTTATCTAATTTTCATAGACAGGCTTTTATATTGGATTCTTATATACAAACATCATTTTTCTCCCCGTAGGCAGATAATTTGGAACAATAAATATATTAAATATAAGAACAAATCAATTTTCTATAATAATTGGGTTAAACATGATATTCTAACGGTCTCACAATTGATAAATAATGAAGGGTATTTACTTACATATACTGAATTTTTTGAAAAATTTGGTATTCCAATACCTCCGCGTGAATACAGTATTGTAGTTGATGCAATACCAGCAGGATTTGTGAGGCTTTTAAAGGGCTTCAGTGAATTTAAAAAAGAGATCTTATTAAACGGTATTGATATCAAAGAGAGAAAATGTAATAATACATTTTTTAGATGTTTGATTCATTGCCCTGCAGCATTTCGACGTAAGTACTTCTGGAAAAACCATTTTGAGAATATCAACTGGAAATTGATTTGGACTTTTAATAACAAATTCTGTGTCACAAATAAAGTTAGTGAAATTTACTTTAAAATTATAATTATAATTATTACGGAGCTGATCTCTCTGAATTTTGTGTTTTTTGTGGAATGCATGTAGAGACTGTTTTGCATCTTTTTTTCAAATGTATGTTAAATTTTTCTGGATTGATGTTGAATATTTATTTACTATGTTGAGTGGATCTAAAATTAAGGAAAATTAAGGAAAAGAGATGTTATATTTTATTTTGATAAAAAAGATATGTCACATTTTTATGCTAAATCTTCTAATATTATTAGGTAAGTTTTACATACACAAATGTAAATGGTCAGAAAGGAAGCCCAGTATCTCCCACTTCAAAGTTGATTTGAGGATTTATTTTGAAACTCTTCAAGGTCTGTCAAATCGGAAAGCAACCAGAACTATGGACACGCTCAAAGAACTAAACTCCTCTTTTCTATTGTGATATTGATGTATACTCTCCTTGTTATTTATTTATTTTTCTTTCCCTTTTC